AGTGAACCTAGAATTTGTTAAAAGTACGATGTTTTATGGTCGATTTATGATAATAAGGGTTTTCTGAAGTGATTTAACTGGGTTGCCGAAAAAGTTTGTTTGGGGAAAAAATCATATAGGCTGATTAGGGAGGGGTGCAATCGCTTAACATGGCGTTGACTATTTACTTAGCGTTGGGATACCACCATATACCTGGTATGTTACTATGGTAATAGATACCAAAATTTTCCCCAAAGTTATTTTTTGGCAACCCAGCTAAATCACTCCAATAATCCCTAATGATAGTATTTACACAGAAAAACATCATACTTTTAAATATTAATACGTTCAGAAAATGACAAATGGACTATATGGTCTTTCTTTGCATGACTTCGCAGAACATATCAAAACCCTGGGATCCACAGGGTAACAGTAACAGTAAGTACATTTCTAAGTTCATGCTTCAAAGTTGTCAAAGTTGTAAAAGGGTAATCCTTTTATGAGTACGAAAGCGTACTTTTTGTTGAATAGCCTTTCCCAGCTGCTAATCTTGTGAGTGCATCGTGCATTCAACGAATTGTATTCACTTATTAACCAATCAGTGCCAGGAACAAAATGCACGCTGACTTGTTTTATGAAGCATGCTACATACAAATGTTACGCTTTTGCTCATTTACTTTGCGAACTATTTATATAATATACATTATATATGTTATATACTATTTATATAACATACATTACCAATTGACTGCAAGATTTGAGTGAACAAGTACCTCGTATTTTTCATTTTTCGATATTTTGTGATTTGTTGGCTGATGAGTAACTTGATATTTTATGTCTAAATGTATCAAAGTGGTTCATAGTAATAGTTTTATTGTACACCATAAACTGTTAACATTTTAGAAATAGAACACAATATATGATTTGATAATAGGACAATAATGTAATAATATGTCTAAACTCGGTGGTTTGTTTGTAAGTTTGTTTTTCTAACACCTCAATAACTTACATTCAATGCGTATCTAATCCTCATAATTTACAAATAAATCAGTTATCAAATGCCCGATTTTCGACAGGTAAAGGTAATATATCAACCCTCGGTTCCCACTGTTCCTCTTGTAGATATATTATACATGTATAACCTTCTCAGATATATCCTGTATATTAAATACATTAAATAACATATATATGTTAGTCTCAGCCTAGACAGTATACATTAATTTTATTGGATAATGCGTAAAATTCGAATGAACTTGAAATGAAATTCAACATCCAAAATATGTTAATTTGATCATTCACCGTGTAACTCAAAGCATATGCATGGCCTATTTGCCTTAAAATACGATTGTGATTATGATTTCTGTTCTCCACAAGTAAAATCTAGAAACATAACAGAGTTAAGTTACACGAAATTCAGCTAACTTGAACACGAAGTCTTTCAATTAACTTAAAGTGTCTGTTCGATGCTCATGGGGTCAAAATACAGTTTATACACGTTCTAAATGAAGTAAATACCACTAACATGTCGAACCAGTAACCGTTCTTGTAAACATTTTTATAAATGTGAAATTTAATGTTCAAAATCGGGAACACAATTTCAAATCTCTAGCATGACATCACGAACAGGACGGGTTTAGAATATGTTGTTGGAGTTCATAATCTCCGAACGTGCTTATAAAGTGTTAGTGTAATTGATCGCAACTGCATTCATTGAAGTGAGGAATTGATTCAGAGATGACTACTTTGGAGTCACGTTTTTTCCTCCGATAAACCAAAAAAAATAATACCTAAATTAGAGCCTCCGACCCAGCGGTACGTTTTCACATAGCTAGTCATGCAGAATTACTTTCTGGCCAGTCAGAACACAATATAGAAAATAAACACGCTCAGTTGATAGTATTACCTAACATAAGGCGTCTAAAATCTTGTAACCAAAAGGCATTGAACCATGAGGTGATTTCGGTAAGTGTTACTCCTTTCTGACCAATCAGAACACGGTATAATATGAACACTTTTGAATTTACATTCGAGTTGCATAACGCATTGCCGATAAAAATCCATAACCGGTTCTGTTCGTGACGTCATGTTTTTTCCCTGGAAATCTTATTTTGCGACTAATGAACAAATAGAATGAGTTAAGAGTCTGTTGGAATACTATTTTTACTTACCAATATCTGTTTAATCTACTGCAGTGAGAAAAAATAAACAGAAATTACCGAATAAGCACTTTAATCGTTGATTCATTTCTATAGGTTTATTAGAATTATTACAACGATCGTTCATCAAACGAGTCCTATATTCAATATCTATTCGTTGGACCTATTCTTTAAGTGTAACTATATTCTTTAAAAGTATCTGCTTAGTGCTACGTTAACATATATTCATTATTTTTATCCACAAAAGAGTATCAAACGTTAATGCACAACTAGCCGAGACATGGCCCCCCTCGTCCAGAGTGAAACACAAGGTCCTCATTCTTTAATAATTATATTTCAATTATTTAGTTAAATGCTTAAATGTTGGAAAATGAGTCGCTGTGACGTAATATCTGGCACAGCAATTTCAGAGTCACTGCAATGAATAGAAACATCACAAGGATCTTAAGACTAAATAAATAAGCTATTTAGGGATGAATATAACATTCGGTGAAATCCGTGATATCGTTATATCATTCGTTGATCGTCAAAGCTGCGCCCATTCGCTACCCTCATCTGTGAAACTATCGATATAGAATTGAGTCTCTATTTTCTATTTCAAAACATTGGGATTTACGCGCACAAGAGATGCTATGTAGTAGGCTATTACAAAAATCAAAAAATCGCCACCAAAATTCCTCGGAGCAGGCAGATATAAGACCAGACTGGGCATACACAAAATGTATTGTATGTGCTCCTTAGGTTGCACTCGGGTGCTATCAAAATCGAACACACACAAGTATAAGATACACAGCATCATGATAAACCATGACATCTCATTTCTTCTCAGCCCTGAGATGTTTCAGGTGAAACAGAAAGATGCTATGAGTATCAGAATGGATACACAGAGATAATTAAGGGATGAGTGACAAAGGGATGTTAAAAACAGGCGGCTATTGCAATTGATATTTTAATGTAACTTCCGAATGTAAGAATCTTTTCATCGATAAAAAGAACATCTTAGATATGTTCTATGTGAGTGTATTTGAAAATGTAGTACATAGCTAGTTCCATCTATAAAGATGTCTGATGACAAAAAGCTCAATTTTCCTTGATGTCACGGTCAATGGAACTTTAACACGTGAACTAATGTTTTTTATTTTTTTGTTTTAAAGTCACTTATAGCAAACCTAATCTAACAATTATCTCACGATATGCTTATGACATATTCATGTATACGTCGTTTGTATTTTTTTTAAATCGACCCACGAAAATATGCAATACATCAAGTTAAAAAAGTGGTACGAATCATAGAAGCGACGTTGGGTGGTTCACTAGTAATTTTTTTATGGAAAATCTAGAAATATTACCCAAATTAATTTATGTTTATTCAAAAGAAGACATTCAAATCTATATTATGTAAAAAAATCAAATTTGTCCGAAGCAGGGATAGCGCTCAATTAGGGGAGGCATCAAAAGATCAATGTCTGATAGAAAACTAAATAAATCTAGTTTGGGGGGGGAGGGGGTCAAAGCTATTTCAGTTTGCTATCCGACAAATTTCAACATTTAAATTTTTTTGCAATTTTGACTCGAAATGCCTTGGAATGGTTTCAAAATAAAGACTTTACCAGATGCCTTCTTCACCAAGATGCATGCAACATGGAATATTATGTCTATTGTTGTTGGCACATGTTTTAAGAATTATAAATAAGTTATAGTTCTTCCCCCATTAAAGTTCAAAATTGAGTCGCTAAAACATTGAAAAGTCCGCAATCAACTTTCATTGTATTTAGTTTTGAGGGGGAGGGGGGGGGGGGTCCAACTCAAAACTAGATTTATTTAGTTTCCTATCAGACATTGAACTTTTGATGCCTCCCCTTAGAGTGATGAACTTCGTTCTCCAAACCGAGAATCATCCTTTGGGTGTTTTTCAATTAGGAATATTCTATAAAAGCTGGGTATAACTTTACGCCTCATATTTTGTTATATTATTTTCCTTTTCTTGCATTTTTGAAATGGCCCCTCATTAAGTTAACTTTCAATGAATGAATTGCAACTCTAAAACTACAATGCCAATTAATTTGATATGTTGTTTTTCATACAAAATGTAATTTTCCAATCTTGAATGGATGAATGAAATCTTAAACAATGAAAACTAAATATACGTGGCATTTAACACTAACTCGGATAATAGACAAACTGAATGACCAATTACAACAATGGACCTAAAATAATAGATGAATGAAATGAAACTGTGGCAATCTCGATGGAACTGCAAACCATTCATTCTACATGTATTGTTCACCAACTGTGTATAGGCTGCAGATAAACAATTTTCAATCATTTGAAAACTGAACATTACTCTTGAAACATCCTCAGTCACAGTAAGTAAAATATTTATTTTAACCTCTTGAATCCCAGGCTCTAAAATCAGTTGAAACCAGAGAATTTTTCATTTTTGCCACCTTTTGACATTTTACTATTTACCTATACAACTTTAGATGCTCAACTTTGTAAAATTAGATGGCAGAGATCATTTCGACATGTTTTAAAACAATTTTTGTGTAAATTGGATGAAAAATTGTTCAATTAAGAGCAATTTTAGTAGACAATTTTGTGACGGATTTTCTCATCACTCTGGGTTTCAAGCTCATTTCTGAAGTGACAGTGTGTTAATTTCTTTGGTATATTCAGTAAAATAATTTAATCGTGCATTTAATTTGCCTTGCTATGTGTGAATATAATTTATAAATAATTTCAGTATATCACTATGATGAAATTGCACACAGCATTGGCAATGTTTTTGTTCATGACACTGTTAATACCAGCGACAGATGCCTGGTGGAGAAGGAGGTTTCCATCATTAAGTCCAGGATGTAGGTATGCAAATGTCAGGATATGCAGTTACAAAGGGCGCTGTCGTTTTGTGAGAAAACAAATATGCGGCACAGGAAAGGTCGATATTGACACTACGGATGATGACCTAGAGGAGGTAAGATTTCAAAATGGCAGTTTCAAAATGGCAGTTTCAAAGTGGCAGTCAATCATTTTAGTACTCCTGACGATGACATTGCTGTGATCCAAGGTTGAATTGAGGTGATTATGCCATTTCATTTCATTTTTGAGGTAAGATTTTTATAATATCTCCAAAGTAAAATAAGATAAATACACCACTTATAGATCACATTTACGTAACGTTACAACAAAACAGTAACTGGACTTTACTGAACCTTGATCAATATAATCATAAAGGTACGAAGAAGATGAACATGATGAATCTAATTCACATTTCTCACTGAATCTAGCACTATAGAGATGTGTACCTTATGGCCTGGGTGTATAAATTCTAATAGGAAATTTGCATTTTGTTATTCCCACCAGTTTCAAAATGGCAGCCAATCACTTTAGTGCTTATGATGACATTGCAATGATCCAATGTTAAATTGAAGTGATTGTGCCATTTCAAGTATTTTTTGCATTTACTGAACCAAAAAAATCTGGTACATTGTGTACAAAATAACCTAATATTTACATTTTCTTAATTATTGAAGATCAGAAAAGGAAAGAATCATGCAACCGGTATGCCAGTGGAATTCAATTTCTATGATATGAAACAAGATGGTGTGATATACCCCCAAGAAATGGCATCAACCCTTTGCATGAAGGTCAAACAAACAAAGCAAGTTATCGATAGTTGTGATAAAGATGGTAAGTAGTGTTGTTGTGATAAAAATAGTTGTGATAAAGATGGTAAGTAGTGTTGCTGTGATAAAAAGAGTTGTGATAAAGATGATAAGTAGTGTTGTTGTGATAAAAATAGTTGTGATAAAGATGGTAAGTAGTGTTGTTGTGATAAAAAGAGTTTGTTATATTGATAGTTGTGATAAAAATCAGGTAAGCAGTTGTGATGAAAATTAAGTAAGATTCATAATTCCAGTAATTGAGCAAATGAAGCTAAAAATAAGCAATCAAATAACCACGTTGCAACAGTATATGAAAAAATAGAAAGAATTGTTGTACAAGATCTAACTCTTTGTTTATTTCAAATAGTTATGTTTTATATTTATTTCAATTTTAGGTGACCATGGTTTGAACAGGGGAGAATTTGAAAATTGTGAATTTGCTTTTGAAAACAGGCCATTGGACAGCGGTAGGTCCTAAACACAAACTCAGAGGTTTCATGGGAATATGGGAAAAAAGGCAAAACGCATTAACGAATATGTTTTTGAACATTGTTATTTCCAATTTTCAATTTTTGTAAGAAGAACCAGCAATTTCTTAAAAAAGAACCAGCAATTTCTTTTAAAAGAACCAGCGATTTCTTTACTAACAAGAACCAGCAATTTCTGTAATAACAAGAATCAGCAATTTCTTTTAAAGGAACCAGCAATTTTTGTAAAAAGAACCAGTAAAAACTGTTCAAACAACCAGCAATTTCTGAAAATAAACAACCAGAAAAATTTGCCTGCTGCTAAAATTTGTCATTATCAATCTGAAATTTTGATAATCATACATATATCTGTTTCTCGTACACAGAGGGTAGTTGCACAATTGCATGCAGTTACTGCCGATTTGTGACCACTCCCCAGCATAAAAAAGATTTTACTACTTTCAGGTAAAGAACCACTATTTACAGTCGAAGGTGAAGATTAGGAATAAACCAAACCAACAAAATTAACAATACTATACAAGAAAGAAAGAACAATTAAAGATACAATGCAATATATTAAGAAACAATGAGAAACAATAAATACAAAATATGAAACATATCATAATTCACAATGTGGATCAAAGTAATGCAAAGTGATGAACCGATTAATGCCTTAATTAATGATTCAATTGAATTAAATTGATGGTTTCAAGTATCCTGTTGACAGAGTTATAAATTTTTAAAGAATAGTGATTTTCTGTTCTATTTAACATTTGACCAGTAGAAACATTTGTTCATAGTGTTCATAGTTCATTTGTTCATAGTTCATTTGTCCATATACACATCAGAGATATGCTGGTTACTCAATTAGTACAAAATGAGTACTAAATTAGCACTCTGGTAAAAGCACGCTCATGAGCATTTTGTACTAACTGAGTACTCAGCATATGTATGAGTGCTCATTGAGTAATAAAAAATCAATGAAATTAATGCTATTTTATCACTAATCAGATTAGTGCTCATTTAGCACTAAAACTGCAATAAATCAGTACTCATGGCATATGTGCTCATCTAGTTCTAATATTTACTGAAATTAGTACTCAATTAAAATACCACGAGTACTATTTAAGTACTCGGCATATCTCCCTGTTTAGTGTTCACTGTTCATTGTTTATAGTTCATTTGTTCATAGTGCTCATATTTCATTTGTCCATAGTTTATTTGTTCATAGTTCATTTGTTCATAGTGTTCACTGTTCATTGTTCATAGTTCTCATAGTTCATTTTTTTCATAATTCATTGTGTTCATAGTTCATTTGTTCATAGTGTTCACTGTACATTGTTCATAGTGTTTTAAAAAGTGTGTTATTTTTTACTCACCAGAGCCAGGTGTTTTCATTTTCCTATCATGCCCTATGGGTGAGAGCTCAGGGGATGAGAAGTGATCGCCTGACCCAATTGAACATCTCTGGAAAACTGGCGTGGCCATATTACTGGCTCCTTTGTGTACTATCTTGGGACTAGATGAAAATTGCATCTGCAACAATGAATAAACAAATTTTGACCCAATAAATTTATTTTGAGGACCTGTCAAAAACTAGTCAAAATATCTCTATGATATGTCTATAGTAAACATTTGTATATTCTAAGAAGAAACGTGATGTCATAAAAACAAGAACAATTGATTGACTAATCTATAAGCAATTTACGTGTAGATCTTTTAACCGTGGAACAAAAACTTTTGGTCATATATTGCGCCATAAATCGTAGAATTTCAGCCTCTATTCCTTAAATAATCAAACCATATCAATAATGTAGAGCTAGATACAACACTTAAACAAAAAGCTAGCTTACTGAGTTGGGTGTTTTTGTTGCACTATACTTCTGTTGCTCTGGAGTAACACACTTCAAAGGCGAGACATTCGGTGAGTGTAACCCTTCCGATTGGTCGCTACTGATCTTCTCTTGCCTATAATTGAGATAAAATGTTATAAGTCAACTTAACAAAAATACGAGTCAGAGTGCATGGAAAATTGTAAATCCCTCCCAAGATTTTTTCAAATAAGACATGTAGCATGTATGTAGTCCAATGGGATTCCAACAGCTTTGAATTCTAAAATTTAGTATTTATTTGGTAATAATGAGATGACAGCAATAAGACAAAGGATATTGTTTTCCAGCATTCTTTAGAGATTCTCTGTTGTCAGTGACTTATTTGTGGTCACATGATTCACAAGTGACAGCATGCAAAATAGTGTAAAGGACCAATTTGGTTATCATGTTACCATAATTGGCATCTCCAAGCTAAATATTTGGTCTGGAGAAGACCATTATAGTAATATTTTTACCAAACTGTTCCCTGCCAGGCAAATGAAAATCGGGAATAAATCTTGGTTGACAATATTTCTTGAGCTTTTTAAACCAAAAAGTTTTGGATGAAACTGAGAACATACTTTTTGGAATATATGTTCACTTACTTGACCGGGCTTAGAGGTTGCGAGGTCTCTCCTTGGAAGAAGAGTTTACGACGTAGAGAAGATGTACTAAGGACGTCTTGGCTGCCATCATCGCTGTCATTCTGTGTGTAATATTCACCTATTGATGAGAGAAGAAATTAGAATACAGGAGAAATGCCTAAAATAGTGTTCATTTTGCAAGAGCATTTCAATTAAGACATAAGACACAAACTACTAAATTGATATGTACCGGATTTTCTCGCATATAAGCCCTGGGCGTATTACTGAAAGAAGGGGTAATTTCGTCTGTTATTTTACCTCTTATTTTTCGCCCATGGGCGTATACTAGTAAGTGTACTACTTTCGATTTTTGGCCCATGAGCCTAAATTTTGAGAAAATCCGGTAACCAGGCAAGATGCTTTCCATTTGTATGAAACAAGCAGATCCATGTTTTAAATTGAAGTACTTAATTGAAGTAATTAAACTACTTTTATTGTCTGAATACTGAATGCAGAATTTAAATAAAGGCAAAATTGTGAAGAATTAGTATAAACGATATACATGTAATAAATCTTTGAAGTAAAATAGTTATATTTCAGTGTAGGTCTTACCCAGAATCCTTTGAAGATCTAAGTCCATTGGGATTGAAAGGGCTGTCTGACAAGAAACTAAAATAAAGCAACACAACAGAACTTTTCAGAACAAAAACAAAAGTGCAAAATTATTGACTAAATATATTGAACAATATACAAAAATACATATAATATAAAATAAAATGATATGTGTGATCAAAATAAATTCCGATAGAACAATTTATACTAGCTTTAATAATAACATTTCTTATGAATGACAAAACTAAATTGAAACTGGTATTGAAAACAAAAATGTAGTGATAAGTTTAAGCCTTATATGGTATGTTTCATATATATATCACTTAGTGAAAGAACAAAAATAATACCATAAAAGAACAAAAATTACACTATAAAGGAACAAAAATAATACCATAAATGTAGTTAAATCTGTTTAATCCAAAAATGGGTCAAATGGGTCTGGATTAGCAAATTTTCACATTTTAAGGAGATGAAAAAAAATGTGTACAAAGAAAAAGTTTTCACATGTTTGGATTAGACTACGAGGTGTTCGAATATACAGGTTTCACTGTATACAATTTATTTTCACTGAATAATATTAAAAATGATCACATCTTTTAAATAAAACTTACAAAATACGGGGAAATATCAGTAAGAGCACAAGGGGTGATCTTAAACAAAAACTGCATAGTATCAGCAATAATTCAGAATCTGTAAAAATCTTAACCATGAGCTTAACGTTCAATACTCACCACTCTTTTTCCCAGGAAGGACCAAACTTCCACTTAAGCTTGTACAAGCTGGAGAGGCAGACTTGTCTGAAATGCACAAGTTTTTCTGTATGAGAAGCTTGATAGGTGACTTAACCTTAATAGGCAAGGAAGGTGCAACACTTTAGAGCATCTAAAGCGAAATATACAAGTTTTCCTGTACAAGTTGGGAACTAGGTTTCAAACTAAGGTACAACACTTCATTATAATTTTCTGAAATATTCATGTTTAACGAGGTGCTTACTAGATTTTAAACTGAGATGCAACACCTAATTATAATTTTACATACATATTTTACTGAACAAGGTTGGACCAAGAGGTGCAACACCTGACCATTCTCAAAAGTATAACAATATCTTGATGTACCTAAATATGTTCCGTTTTACTGTAGATGTCAGAAAAAATATCTAAAAAATATTACATCTTCAAATGACGGACAAAATAATTTTACCTTCTGAGTTGATTCCTCTTAAAACTGATCCTTTTCCTTCTTTTGCCCCTGACCAAGGAGATGGTGCGATAATACCAGATTTGAAGAAAGTGTCGATCTGACTCTGGACATTGTTCTCGGTCTCGTGATCATGCGTTATCGTGCTCTGCTGATTTGGCATCTCATCGATATCTGCCGGATACAGGACGGCCTTCTGGTCGATATTCCATTGAAAAAGTTTGTTTGGAGTTGCCTTAAATAAGCGTGGGCTTTTAGATACACATACATGTAGATGTATTGTTTTTACACTCCCATAAAATTAAGTAATAAAAATGTTGATCTATCCTGTTCCCTTGATTTTAGACTTTTTAATGCAAATAAATTACCTCCTAGAATTCTACTACCCAAAATGTTATTCGTTCCCTTTCCTTTGATGTACTACATATTCAAACTTTTTGGGAATATAAGTATAAATGTATTCAGTTAAGTTAACCAAAGAGATTCATTTGGGAGGTTCTTATTCACAAATTAATTAATTGTCCTTAGACTACCTAAAAACATACAGTAAGATTTTGTCAAGTTTTATAAATGAGCTGCCTTTTGAATTTAAGCTCAAATCTGAGCAGTCTTCAAGGATAGTAAAGATCACATATATCGCAAACAATTTCAGTTTTGATTAAGACTATTTTATGACCATGTAGATGTAGACAGACATTATCTTTTCAATTCATTATCTCAAAGAAAAGTATTTCACAAAAAAGATTTCTATCAAACCTTACTTACTTTATCATCACTACTAGGCGTTGATGTTTTTGCGAAGACGTTCGGACTAAACATTGGCATGTCCATACGATCCATCAAGTGGGCTTCAAATGGATTTGGTGTCGGTCCTACGCTTGGAGTCCTATTAGCAGGTGAAGAATATTGCACACCAGATGGTGTTTTAAATATGTTTTTTGGAGTTTGTATCTTATTTGTGTTGCTTGAGTAAACAAGAGGACTCGTAGTCTTTGGTGCTCTGTTTTTGGATATAGAATCATGTAGGCCTGGAAACATCTTCACGTGGGGACTGCGGTTCATGTTTATCGGAGTCCTTGCTAATGTTGTAGGGATGTTTGGTGAAGGGGTCTTTTGTTTGTATGGTATATGTGCCGATATGGCTGCATTAAAGTCATTGGGACTTTTAGAACTTGTGGTTTTCCCTGGTGTGGATTCCATTTCTATATGTAAGTGGATTTCCTGAAAGAAATATAGGAAAAAAAGTTCAGTGAAAAAATGTACATGAGAAAAATCGAAGAAGTCATTCAAATATGAGTCAATTTTAGATAATTTTCTCAATATTTACATGTTATTTTGGAGATGGTACAGACACAGTGGTTTTAAAGCATAGGTTGGACTGAAACGTAGACAGGGCTGCCCCCACTCTGATGAGTTGGCCTATCAGAGTTTTGACTTATACATCAGAATACCTCAGGACTGTAGCCAGGGGGGGGGGGGGGGTTGATGGCCAAAAATTCTTTCAAAATCATGCAGTTTTCATCATTTTGATTTTTTAAGTGATTTTCGCCATTTTGGACCAAAATTGTCAAAATTGAACCCCCCTTGGCAAATCCTGGCTACGGGCCTGTACCTTCTATATTAATACTACACTACAGGTGCATCATGACTCTCGAGGCAGACCGATATCTGTAATGCACATGTAAGCACGTAACAGGATCTGGAACGATGTCCCATTTATATCTGTAGGTTATATCTGTACCAGAGATTCAGATGATTGGTTTAAACATAAACTTTGAAACATTCGGAATTGGATGTCAACAATACGATGCTAGGCAACAAAAATGCACATTATTTTCTTGAGTAGATCCTAGACATGGGCGTAGCGCTATTTTTATGAGAAGTAAGCCATTCTGGGAATACTAGTTGAGCGAAGCAAAAAACAAGCATTCAGGGGCCTGGGTGGGGAGAAAAATTTTGAATTTTGGTTGTATTTGGAAGTAGATTCTATTTGCAACCATCTTGTACGCCTGTAAGTACCTACTTACCAGGCCCTACACCGATGCTAGATCTATTTCAAGATGATTGATTCTTAATCTTTTGCCTTTAGAAGACATAATTTTCCCCTTAATCTTAGCCTAGGAATATTACGAATGAAATCATCCCCTGCTGACTTAGCAAAGCAGATGAAAAATCATTTTATAGATCTAATTTACAAATGTGCAGAACATAGGCCAAGGGAAAAGAGATGGTGAGTTGTTTATAGAAGAGCTTGCTATTGCATTGCCTTTGGTCTATGGTGCAGTCTGAAGTGCACCCCAAGTAAAAAAATCAAAAAAAAGAATGGGTTCAAATGTACCAATAACGATTGAGGATGATTTGTGCGATATAAATGCTAATGTACTTTACCTTGGATAATCCTGTATATAAGTACTTGATGATGTGAATGTACCTTATCTCAAAATGTCGTGAAACCGACGAAAACCAATCATTTGTGTCCTTGTTTTCAAAGTGTTATTTTTGAAAATTTTCACACTTTTCGAATGAGCCAATGAAAACGCCGGAAATATTTAGTGCACATACAAATAATGAAAACAAACTATATATATTCATTATTGGTATTTTAAAAGATACAATTTATTATTACAATAATATTGTAACCATCTAAGACAATAGTTGTATTTTTAAAACATTTCTATAAAGTTGTAAATAAATAAATGTTTACGGACAAAATGGCAGACGGGGATTCAAGCGCGAAGATTCTGACAGCTCGGGAAACAATGGAAAGTGAGTACTTGCGTCTATTATCAACAGTTTCGCATGCCATAAATACATGATAGATTATCTATAGCATCTATCTAACTATTAATAAGTTATGAATCTGACTTTCAAAGCTTCATAACAAAAATCAAACTTCGGACATTTTCCTTGGGTGGGCGATAATATGTTCATTATGCGTCTTAGTCTCCATCAATATTGATATTACTCGGCCGAGCACAGTCGCTGCTGTTTGATTTGGGGTAGATGATGCTTACGCTCCTCTGAGGGTGAGGAATTACTGCACTTGAGATCCACATATGGAACCTGTATAGTAATCTCAATTTTAAAATATAGAGAGAGTAGTCCTGAATTACTCGAGTCTCTAGCTTACAGCTAGACGAAACTTCATTGATTTCGTATGTACTGTGCTATACGCACCTACACGCACCTAGAACTCATTTTTAATAAATTTTATAAATATTTCTAAGAATATTAATCATATTTAGGATGAAGCGTTGCTTGTCTGGATTTAGATATTTCAAAATTTCATTTCGGAGTTTGACACATGGTGAAATTTTCTCGCTGTAGCTAAAAATGCCTTCCGGTTCTGGACGTGAATAACATTTGAAATTATTCTCGCTTAAAGAAATCAAATATAACAATAGATTCAGACGGGGATGTGAGCTGATGTTCTTCAAATCTATACATAAAGGTATATTTCATATTATTATGCCATATTTACTGTGCGTGTGACACAATGATTTACAATATTTATAATACTAAGGCAGCTCAATCTTCCTCCTCAAAGCCGGAATATAGAGAAGGCTTTGGACCGAAGTAAGTCCTGAAAAGAACCACCCCCATCTCCATCACACAGGAACTTGTAGCTCTATGAGTTGCTCTTGTCAGATCTGAGTCAATATAATATGTATAAGATAGATATATTGACTCAGATCTGGCATAAGCATCTCATATCAGAGTGCTACAAGTTCCTGTGCTCCATCATGGTAATCCATGGCTTCACCCCGGGGGTTCACTATATATAAACCTTGACGGGGATCCTCGGCCCCGGGGGGTTCACTGTATATAAAACTCGACGGGGGTCCTAGGCTGAAGCCTCAAATATCAATATGTTCCCATACCAATCTGTCAAATTTCAATATGTTCCCATACCAACCAAAATAACGCCCAAAGGCCATACCAAATGTCCAAATATAGGACCAATGCCATACCAAATGTCAAAATGTAGGACCAATGCCATACCAAATGTCCAAATATGGGACCAATGCCATACCTTAATTCAAAGTTAATGAAATATAGGATAAATGTCATACAAATGTGCAAATACATGACCAATCGCCATACCTCAAATCAAGGACAAATGCCATACTGTAGTTGGGGTCATAAATGACCAAAATAACACGACTCACACTTTTACTCATAGCGATACATCACATAAAATGTTCGGATTCAGTTAAATATATTTTATTTTTAACATGTAATGTATCTACAACGACCATTCTCATACCAGAAGAGCAAAAGTCCGACCATTGCCATACCTCAGAAGTCAGAAATTTCCGGGCATTCCCATACCAAATCCTAAAATATGGGTCCATTGCCATACCAAACGTTGAAAAAGGTACCCCACATGCGCCGAGGATCCCCGTCAAGGTTTATATATAGTGAACCCCCCGGGTCCTCGGCGCATGTGGGGTACCTTTTTCAACGTTTGGTATGGCAATGGACCCATATTTTAGGATTTGGTATGGGAATGCCCGGAAATTTCTGACTTCTGAGGTATGGCCATGGTCGGACTTTTGCTCTTCTGGTATGAGAATTGTCGTTGTAGATACATTACCTAACATTCGTGGTATGGCATTGGTCCATGCCAGTAGTTGCAAATTTGAGGTTGTTTTGGATCGTTTCCCGAAGAATCTTCTTTTCCAGGGCCTTCTTCAACTTTTGAATTTTAGCCCTTTTCCAGGGAAATGAGGACCAATCATAGGCTTTGGTATGGCATTGGTCCCATAATTGGACATTTGGTATGGCATTGGTCCTATATTTGTTTGGACATTTGGTATGGCATTGGTCCTATATTTGGACATTTGGTATGGCCTTTGGGCTTTATTTTGGTTGGTATGGGAACATATTGAAATTTGACAGATTGGTAGAGGAAAATATTGATATTTGAGGCTTCAGCCCAGGACCCCCGTCGAGTTTTGTATACAGTGAACCCCCCGGGGGCTTCACCATCTCTGCCTTCTGGCATGTCTGGAAAAGCTTTGGTATTACATGGTACATGTATCAGACAAGATGCATGATGATGATGATGCAGTTTGGTTGACATTCTTTGCGATGCAGTGAGATGCTTTCAACATCAGAATGTCCACTCTCCCTGTGATTTTTCCAAGTGCCTGCTTTAGGGCCATAATAAACCCACAAACAGAATTGTCACCACAAGGCCTGTCAACTTGAGAAAATACAGCACTGCGGTGCTACATGTAACTCAGTTGGGAGAGCATCAGACTTTATTACATTACTATTATGTTATAGCCCTACAGGAGATGTCTAAGTTACTGAACACAGACCTAGACGCAGAGTCACTGGCTATATGTGTGAAACTCATTGAGAGTGGAGTCAACCCAGAGGCCCTCGCCATGGTGATACAGGAGCTTAGAAGAGAAACAGCATCTTTACAGGTAATTCGGGTAATCCCTGAGATTTGGAGGGTAAATAGAGGATATCCTATGATTTATGAGTGATATGATTTTTATCCACGAATGGATATGATATCTGCACGAGCGAGCGTAGCGAGAGAGTGCAGATATCAATATACATGAGTGGATTAAAATCATATCACGAGTAAAGCATAGGATGTTCTTTTTATTCCATAGTTAAAGTCATCATCAGAATTGTCGGAAATTAAGTCATTTAATTCGAATTTTCCAAACGATCCGGCGATGTTGAGACTTAGCCTCGTTTTGAGTCTGAAGTAGCAAAAATCCATTAACCATCGCATACGACGTCGTATGTCATGGCTAAAAAACCGTATGCTATGGTTAAGTGAAAATTTGTCAAAAATATCATATTTTACCACTGATTACAAAAATACCGTTTTTATTTTCACATGTTATCCAATGAATATCATGCTAACTATGGAATAATTGTAATTACCATCCCCCTAACAGGACAGATAAATATAAAGAATACAATTTTTAACACAATATTGATTTGCTTACTGTATTTTGATCAATAAACAGTACTTAGATATGGCTTAAAGGAAGGATTATACAAATGAAGTACTGTACTCCCAGTTAATTTCTCAATTTAAACAAAATTGCAAAAAGCTTGAAACTAAATCACACACGAAAAATACCAAGAGTACAGTATACTATTAGGCCTTTACTCTTTTTTGTAATTTAGCAATTTAAATTGTGTTCAAATTAATGTTGTAACTTGAGATAATAGCCTGTAAGAATTGAAATTCTGTGTACTCTTGTTTTCCTCAAATCTCCAATAAAATAATGTTATAAAGATGGGCTAAATTATTAGAGGTGTCACACCGATCCGAAGTTAACCCGAATCTCGGGTCGGGTCACCAACTACTTATCATAACTATCAATTTCAGGTCGGGTCAGAACACTCAGGGCCCCACTCAGGAATATCATAAGTTATTGTAAAATTCTTTATATTTCCCACAAAATTTCAAACTTTTCGCTTGCAAAAGATAGGTATCGATATGGAGAACTGAATTAAACAATGTTTTTCTCTTAAACCAATCATTGAAAACATTCTGTAAAAAAACATGGTATTTTATGTAATGTTGACTGATTGACAACAATTTAATGTGAAAATTATTTAGAAATTTTTTATATAACTGTTTTTGTGAACATTTTTTGTTTTTTTAGTGCAATTGTTTTTGCTCCTTTCTACCAATTCTTGAGAATGAAATAAAATGTCTTGTTGGAACAAAATAGCATATACAACATGTTTTTAGACCTCTCAATATTAAAGTTATACAAAGGAATTTTTGGTTGGTTTTCAAAAAGTATTCAAAAAATTAAAACAAAATCCCCCCAAAATTGATAAAAATCAAGAAAAACCTTTTATTTCATTAATTAACAAGATACTTTTTTAAAATCAACCAAAATTTCCTTTGTACAATTACAATATTGAGAGACCTAAACATGTTGTGTTTATGTCGTTTTGTTCCAATGAGGTTCGGAAAGATGTTTCATTTCACTCTGGAAACATGATACCAAGAACAAAACAAGTGTTTGATGTGTTTTTCAAAACAATATAGATGAAAGTATGTATATCTATTTCAAATTATATTGTTACCATTCAAAAGATGACCATTAAATTGACAATTTGTAAGATTTTCAAAAATTTTCGATGACTGGTTTAAGAGAAACATGTGTTCAAAAAGTTTGCCATATCGATACCCATTCTTTCTTGAATACATATACAAATGGGGAATAGTTTATGGTTCTCCTCGAATTATTTAATGCTAAGTTTCTATCATGTTCCCTTTATTAAAGCTAACATGCATGGGGAATATGCAATAATGCAGGCTTAAACAGCAAGTCAACTTCATTTTTCTTTTTCTTCTGACCCGATCCAAAATTACCCGACCCGCACACTTTTATTCTGGCCCTACCCGACCCAAAAGATAGCCGACTAATGAACACCCCCCCCCCTGGCCAAAGATTCTTTCAAAATCATGCAGTTTTTCACCATTTTGAGCACTTCTCAAGTTATTTTAGCCATATTTGGGCCAAAATTGTCAAATGCGAATCCCCCTGGAAAGTTTTGAAAACTGAACCCGCCCCTTGGCAAATCCTGACTACGGGCCTGAGAAGAGTTGACATATTCTTCTTCTCCAACTTTTTTATGGATAGTGTTTTGCAGTTGGTGGTTGGTGTTCGGCAGTCAGGTCGGCCTCTAGCAAATGTGAGGTGTTAACATTTTGCACTTTAATGCCTTCTTTCAAAAGTTGGAAAGTCAACTTTGGCTCAGCTCAAGAGATCAATTTTGCCTCACGTATATGTAGTCAGTATACTGTACTCCTACTTAATTTGGCACTACTTATTTTTGCGGATTTGCTGTTTTGAACATTTGAGGGCTACTTAATTTGACAGACTTACAATATTACATGGTACTAAAATTACAGGGGAACTTCACAGCTACAGTATATTTGCCTCACCTATTGAATCCAGGGTGCCCATGCATTTATTAAATTACTTTTTTAATTATGTTTCCAGGATTCTATAACCAGTAGACAATGACAACTGAGCCAAGTGTAAATACATGGAAATAAACAACATGTTCCTGACTCACAATAAATAAAATTCAACAGATTTCAAATACATGTTCATGTATTTTGGTGCCACGTGGATCTTTGGAATTGGATTTAATAGGTCAATGAAACCTTTGAGTTACAAATGTGTTATACAACATAAAACCAAGATGACATCCCAAGGATACAAATACGTATTTGATTGTACAGGGTGTCCAAAAAAATAGGACCGTAAGAAAGTTGAATAACTCGGTCAATTTTGCATATTTTGCCTTCAAATTTAAGAATTATTTAGTTCATTCAATGTGAATTTTGTTTTGAAGGTTTGATTATAATCTGTTTATTGCGTCAAAAACTACAGTCCTTTACAAAACATGCTCAAAGTGGGCACTTCTCTCTATGCACAAACGAATCCTGCGAACAAAGATCATGGATTTAGATCAGGCGAATGAGCTGCCCATATGGTTTGCGTTCTGCAACTGATGAGCTGACCACCAAAGCATTGCCTAAACCATTTCAGCATATCATTTGCAGTGTTGGGGTGGTATTGGCTTGTTGAAACCACTTTTTAATTATCTCCTTAGATGTCCCTTCTGGTGCTTAGTGACCTCCAAAACTTGGTGAGAACTTACTGGTCTTTGTTCATGATGATAGCAAGTCCCCAGTCAGTTCGAACCAAAAGCAGAAAAGGGACTGATGATTCCATGTTTCCTCATTGCCACCCAGGGAGTGCATTGTTCAGAATGCAATGGATGCTGTAACCCTTCATCAGGAGGATGTAAGCCCCAGTAGCAATTGTTCTTGGAACAAACTTGTCCATTCAGAAAGACATGTGTGTAGGAGGATCATCAACAGCTTTGTTCGCCGGATTGAATTGTGCATAGAGATGAGATTTGCACATTTTGAGCATGTTTTATAAGGAGCTGTAGATTTTGACTCAATTAGTAGATTATTATCAAACTTTCACAACAAAATTCACATTGAATGAACTAAATAATTCTGAAATTTCAAGGCAAAATATGCAAAATTGACCGAGTTATTCAACTTTCTTACGGTCCTGTTTTTTTGGACACCCTGTATATATTCATGATATTTAAGCATTTAATGATAAATGATTGTAAAGAATGACTATATTGACAGATATTGAAATAATGTCAAAAATGTGATAAATAGATGTCACCATGTGTGTTTGCCATTGAAAAAGTGTAAATAACAATTTGTTTTGAAGGATCAAATATATTGTAAATACATGTAAATAAAATTAGAATTAGATTAAATAAATGTATTTGTTGAATCTTTTATTATGATATATGAACAAAGGATATCTTATCATTTTCTGTATTTATTTCAAACATTGTCCCTTTGATCTGTAACCCCAATGAGATTTATCATATTTGTGCTTTGCAAAGCATTTCGCTGCCTCCTCGTCACACATACAAACGTTGTAGTCGCAAGATCCCTTCTTGTTCCCTGAAAAATAGAGCATGGTTTACAAAAGTATACGTACTGTAGTCCTACAGAATACACTAAATCCGCCAAATTAAAACGGTCATCCAATTAACAGACTGATGCAACTTACAGTAGGTCAAATCGGAGAGAATAGTTAGATGTTAACAAGAATTAAATGATTTTTGTAAAATTATGTTGCTTAAATCTTAATTCAAGGAAGATCTACATTCCTTCCTCCATTCATTAGCAACGTTTCCCTTTGGACACTGACATTGGCGAAAGACAAAAGCACTTTGAGAAATGAATTATATCAACTTACAACAACGGTTCCAGAATCTGATATAAATGTTCCATTTTGGATTACATTTTCTGTTCTTTCCGTAGCATCTATCGTGGGCTTTACAGCACTCATCTATTTCATCTACGGTTTTTCCTTTTCCCCCCAGTCCACACCAACAGCCGTAATTTATGTAGTCAAAGCAGCTGCGTTTCGTATAGTGCGATACCATCCCGCAGAATTGCAGGAGGTTTGCATTGGTTTCCACGGAGAGGAGTGCAACTGCTAGGAATGCTAGCATCAGAACCTAAAGAGAAGAATTAAAACAATGTCTTAACATGAGACACCATCAGGTAGCAAGATATTGGATAAAATTTAGAGTTTTGTATCAGTTTTCGTTAATAGGAGAATTCCAGTAAGAACGCAAATATTTGAACTCAATGGGGTAGATTGCATTAGACTTGGGCTCAGAACTAACTTGATTGCCAAAAAGTGCAACCTCAACCGAATTTTGTTAATTTTGACCAATATATGCCAATTTGTCCCAATAACTTCTCAAAACGTACCCTTTTTATATTCGTTTGACTTCACTTCTTAAAAGAGAGTTTCGTCTTCAGTCAGACTCTGCACGCAGGGTAGCTCATCGGTTTATTTCGACTTTATCAGTATCGTTATTAAAGACAGAGTGCTATTGACAACGCTGGAGGATTCGCTAATATTTGTTTTATGAAAGAAATAAAAATATTACCATGCTAATTAAATCTTCAATATTCAAAAGATCGCATATCAATCTACATGTAACAAATCAAAATTGTTGGCGACATTGAAAACGTCGAAATACTTTACGTCGAAACAAGACGATGAACTTCATTCTCCAAACCGAGAATGGCCCTTTCCCACCATTTTTCAAATAAAAGATTTTTTAATCATCAAATATTCAACTTTACAATCTTTTTAAAACCACTGCAAAGATTGAAATTAAACAAAAAAGTTTCACATATCACAATAGGTAAGACTACAATAAAAGCCAACGTGGTTTAAACTTATTATGGGGGCTGTTGATCAAATGTAGAACAGTGAAAACAAATAAGTGTTAAAAATAGGCATTTTTCATGTAATTGAACATAGCTGAAACAAAACGTATTTTTGCTCAACATTTTATGTATTCTAAAATAGAATACCTTTATCTGAATTACGTCAGCATACTTTTTGATCGTTTCGATTGTAAGTAGCGTTGATATCTGGCTCCAAAATTGTGAATTTTGGTGAAATTGTCAATGTAACAGGACAACACGCTTTTGAAAACATATCATATCTCAATAATAAATGGTCGCATCTTTTAATTTTGGTTATGCTGGCATAGAGAACATTCATTCAGAGTGTGATGAGAGCACCGGATTTGATCTCCACCTATTACCGAATATATAGACTCAATAAAGTAAATGTAAAATTTATTCTGTGAAAATCGACATGGTCGTTAAAACACACCCACGGGGCATTAGGGGAACCCGAGAAAAATAGGTTATATGTGGTTAGCAAGTCCTTGATTCAGTTTATCAGACCATCGTATTCCAAATCGTGATAATAATTGTGATTGAATTATAACGAGCATTATCTGAACATTTCTGAAAATTCACCATTTTTCTTGTGAAAAACGACCAAGATGTAATTAAAACATGGGCAGCATTCTTGTGTAAAGATGGACACTATTCAAGAAAACATTATATCCACTCTATTTTAACGAAAAGATTTTACAACCAGCACGACCCCATCTATGAGCGAATATGGTGTGAAACTGTGACAATCGACATGCGTGAAAATCGACATGATTATACCATTGAACTCAAAGCAGTAAATTAGTCATATGTATAAATCACAGATGGATTAATTTGATTTTATATGATTACCAATACTCTGATAACACATTTATAACAGTTTTACGGTAATTTACGCATAACGATCAATTGATAGACATTGAAAAGATAACAGCTAAATTGTTTTCTCTTTGTTCAGCGTACCTTTTCCATTTTATACGTCTTTACAAAATACGTAACATGCAAGCAGATGTCAAGTTATTTGGAACTTCCATAAGCATAATTTACCGAAAAAAAGATACTACAAAAATCACTATGAAGACCATTACAGCCCAAAATGTGTCAACCTCTGTAAATAGTGTTTCGTTCAGTGCATTCCCGGGGATTGCTGACTGCAATCATAAAGTCTATTAACGTTTGGAATCAGTTTCCCTTTCAATGAATGCATCATTCTCAATGGTGAATAGCATAAACAGGCATCTCTAATTTGTATCATGAAAGATTTTACTTTTCAACGATGTTTATTTGCTTATTATTTTTAAACTACGATCTCGGATCTACTACTCGATACATTATTACGATCTGATGTACAATATTCAGTATCCCTTCGTGAAACGTAATTCTTTGCAAAACATACAAAGAAAAACAAAAAATAAGCAATGCTCGAGAATTAAAAAATAAAAAAATCAAGACATGCGGTGCATAAAAATATCGCCAATTGAACTAGCATTATAGAAACATAAAGCACGAGATACGCATGCGACGATAGAGGCAACAAAAGCAAGATTATCTTTCCCCTCTTCGAAAAAAAACCGGGGGTAGATCACTAAAAATATATAGACTTCAAGAGTTTCAAAGAAAAACAAAACATCAGAAGAAACAAGTTTGATAGCGAAAGTTATGAGATGCGAAATCAGAAATCCGAAAAAGGATCGAGTCTGACACGAAAGAAATTTGTTTCTCTAAAGCGGAAATTTTAGCGACTAAAACAAAAATCTCAGAATAAACCAAACATAGTAATAAAAACACTTCCAGTTGCCATGGAAAAGGGTTCTTGTGATAGGAACTTGGAGGGGGAGAGGGGGGAGGTCATCGGCGAAGCGCTCCGCAGATAATGGTGTCAAGAGAAACGTCTCTACACCAGTGCAGATGATTTTTATGATTGAACTATACGTCATCCTTAATGGACTGGACTCGACATCAATATCATGTTTCAATTGATAGCGTAGACTCGAGTAGAATAAGGACCGGCTTCTTGATTTGGAATATATTAAAGAAACATTTCAGATCATACCCCGATAGATGATGTTTGTACTCCAATATGACGTAAATGGTTGTCCTGTTGTGATACATGCAGGAAAAACGTCATTACGTCAACCTGTAACTGGTTTAAGCATGTAATAAAAGCTAAACCCAAAGGAAAAATTACTCAAATTGTAAAAAACAAGTCAAAGAACCATACCTGGTATGTGAGATAAAAAAGAAAACATATGGCAAAGGTGTCAAAAAATTATTTTGACGACATGGCATCTGTCATCCCATTGTCATTCAATCTAAAAATGTAAATCTTGGTTTCATGAATCAGTGCGATGTTTTGGTAAAGTTGGTGTGAAAAGAATGTAGAAAAGATGTGTTCAGTGCATATAAACTTTGCGGACGTAATACGTACATGTACATATACTTAGTTTATTCTCTTAGACGATATTTTAGAATAAAATGTGAAACACGACAGGGTTTTGACGGAAAATTTTACATAAACGTGGTCATATTTTGATACAAATACACATTGGTTGTTTCTCAGTTCAGCTTGTTATATCCTACATATCAAAAATGTCGATTCGTGAAGTTAGCGGTCCCTAAAGTGAACTTTTTAACTCATTGTCATTTGTTTCTAATTGTCTTGTGAAAATCGACATGCGGATGAATAGTGAACTAGCCTAATGATCAATTCTTCCCAAATAAAACTGTTATCATTTTCTTATCGTCTTAAGCATCATTTTTCATGATCGCATCAATTCATGTTTCAATAGAATCGACTCTTTCAATTTTATTCAAATGAAAAACAAAGGGGAAGTTAAAAATTGAGAAAAACGATAGATTTTATTGGTTCATGTTGACAAAGTGATGCACATCAAGAAGAAAAAGCTTGCAGTCCAAATCCATTTGCGATTTTAAAGGACAGTTAAGTACCACGAGGAACGTTCTTGGTTTTTTGAAAAGGATGCATTCTAATTTGAATAGCTTGACACATTAACCAGGGGGTCAAGGTGTGAAAGTCGACATGTTTGAGACGGACCCTAATTTCAATTTGAAAATTCGCCTATTTTTCCTTGGAGTTTACTTCAATGCCTTGGGTAACGAATGTACAAATGTATGAAGATATATACTATATATCTATTTCAAAAAAACATTTTAGAATTTTTTTCACTATTTAACAAAATTAATTTTACACTTAAGCGGTTTTGAGTGAGAAGTGTTATATGAAATGCAGTGTCAAGATTTACCCGAGGTGGGGGTACAAAGGACAAAATAGTTATTAGTAAAGCTAGGATGTTCAAACTTTCCCCAAATATATTTCATTCAATTATCACCTATGGTGTAATACGTTTAACAACTATGAAAGTATGGTAGAATCAACCAAATGATTTTCCTGAAATAAAGTTCGATGAATAAACGCAAGGAGGTCATGCGTCTCGAACTGACGACCCCATCGCTACATACGTCGCCTGTTGTAGAAGGATGGGAGCATAAAATACCTTAAATATTTTACATGTAATAACTTACTCTATCTTTTCCTTTTACTTTCTTTTTAATACGTACAAAGTAGTAAATGTTCCATTTTGAAAGCTTTTGTAGTCTTAGCTATTATAATGCACTATCAATCAGATTTTAAACATCATATTTATTTTACATATCTTACCTTATTCATGCTTGTATCTTTGTATCGACTAGATAGCTATTTCTCATTTAATCGGCATTAATCAAGTCCGTCCGTTTAGCCTGATGTCATATGTGTTGTGTTTTTTCATATGTCTATAGTGTATTATATTTATGATGTATGTACGAATATTTACATAGCAAAGTAGTATACTTGTCTCTCCTTTGTTGGATGGCTGAACGATTTCAATATTAATTTTATCCCACTTCTTTTACTTGGAATTCAATTATATTTCATAGTCTTTGTCTGATACCAGTCATTTATAAACCAAGAACAACCCTGTAAACACGTATAGAGACATGTCAATAGGATACAACCCGCTCTTAAATCACGGAGTATAAGCTAAACATAAATAAAAGAATAAATCACAATCTTCAAAACACTTGTTTCAAGTTCACGTTTAAAATTATTTCAGATTTACTGAATTCATATAAATCAAACGTACAAGTGCATCCTTATGTGCCGATATAAATAGTTAATGGAGTGACAATTATTTTGTTGTTGTGGCAAAAGTGAGTTGTTTTTATTTTTGAAGTGTACTATTATACATAATCCATTGTTACACCTCCCACAATAAATATGAAAATCCCTATTGGATTACACGGCCATAAACTGGATTAGCAATCTGCTATTGTCTGAGTCCATCTTTAATCGTCACGCAAGGTCAGAAAATGACAAATTTGATAAAAATTAATTAGTTACAAACGTCCAATCCCCAAACTTAAAGCTATTTTAACATGTTGGCAATAATTGTTCAGTTGTCATATTTTTGAAGGGTGGTGTTCTCCTACTGACATAGCTTGTATTCGCAAATCTGTCGACTACCGGATTAACCTACTATTCTATGTTGAACTTATTTAAATACGAATAGTACCTGTCACTATTCCACTCATATCTATATGAATTAGTCATAAAATAATTGGTTAATCCGGTAGCAGACAGCCGTTAGCTGCAATGGCGAATACTTAAGCTTATAGTTAATAAAAATGTTGATATTGGTTGACAATGGATTTGGATTCCCTATCAACACTTCAATATTTCCTAACAATATCACGTGCAATAAATTATTTCAATGTTGACGTTATTTTGTTATAGCCACTAATTTGTGACTATTCTGATGAACTGGAGTCAAACTCTCTGACAACACTTCACTAGAATCAAAGATGCCATATGCAATAAAACATTTTTATTCCATTTATCGTTTTAACACTATATTGTTTTATTGTGCACCCCATATGTATTCTAGATGCTCATTGGCTTATTCATGGATCGCTTGATAAAAATATGGGTTCTCAATCTTAAATAGGACATTGGACTTGCTTTTTAGAACTTTTTTTGTTGGCTCTATGATTGGTAGTTGAGTAAACGAAGATTGGGTAATTTCCTCGATCGTATGATCAAGAAGATTGCTATTTTAAAATTACTAATGTTTTTGCATGCTGTTTAAAATAAACCGAACCAAAAAAGCGAAAGGTACTATACTGACGCCTCGATCACGAGTCACGGCAAAACTTCCTGATTCACTTTTTGCTTTTCAGCAAAACTTCCTGGTTCACTTTTTCAGATGGTCCAATCATAAGGAAATACGACACACTATATTTCAGTATTTGATGCGATAATCATTTCGAATCACAGCAATTCAACATTCGTTTACACCAGGTAAGGAATTATTGCATTTTATCAATTTAATGTTAAATTCAAATAGGCAATTAATTCTGGCCTAAGCTATATTGGGATTGGGATTCGCACTCCCCAGCAAATCGAATCTCATTAAATACAGATATGATCTCATATTAGGATTCGTCAACTATGTATCAATACCGGTTTGAATCCAAATATGATATCATAGATTTCAAATTGGACACGAAGAAGTCAATATTGAGCAAGTTATTTATTTGAATAAACCGCCCCGTATCGGACCAGCTTTTCAGCCCCATACCAGTCCACTTTCGTCAGGTGCGTATAAAAGAGTGATATCTGTTATCCCATAGCATGTAATGTATCGTGTTCTTTCATTTTAAGTGAAACAACCTGGGCTCTGTAGAATTTAGAAATGGAAGAAACTGCATCTGTACCCCACCAACTTGATGAAAATAATCAGACGGTGTCCCTGACACACCTTCCAGATATTTGCTTAGTGAAGATATTGTCATATTTGGACCTTCCCGATCGACTGAATGTTGCACGCACATCAAGCATACTGGGAGACAGGTCCAGTCATCCATCACTTTGGCACAAAGTAATAATTCAGATATGTGGACTTAACAATGACGAAAATGACAGAGAAAATGCCTTAAACCTTGCATTGAGAAATAAAGCAATGATCGAAAAGTTTGGACATTTCTTTAAAGATCTAAGACTCATGTATTACGGGGAAGTCAATCATCTCTATCAAGTTGTGCAAGATGTGATGAATGCCATCACAAAATCATGTAGGCTAGAGTCATTAACTTTGGATCTCGATGCACGTCTAGCTGAACATGAAAGGGATACTGCTGATACACAAGAAGGGGGACAAATTACACGTGAAATGTTGTATGAGCCGATATCAAATTTGATAAGTACATTACCCCACTTGCGTTCTTTTGCATTAAAATTCTGGAGTATTCGCTCATTAGTTCATACGAGTAACTTTAACTTATTGAAGTCCCTCTCCAGCAATACTCAGATTCAGAATCTAGAAAAGTTGGATTTATTCTTGGGAGATCCAAACAGTTGCAAAGCCAGGAACCACACTTGTGAACTAATTGGACCCAGACCTGAATATATGGAAACATTTTTTCAGGGATATTTCAAGCACTTGAAACACCTATGTCTTCGCACTAGCATGCTAAATGAGAGAGTTCTTCTATCATTGACTGAAATTGAGAGGGCTCCGTTGAAATTTCTCAAGATTATGGTGTGTTGTGCCATTATTCCAAAGATTTCCTCGGATGTCTGGACAAAACTTACAGGATTTTGTCCAGATTTGGAGGTGGAGATTTTCATAGCTTTAAGAAGAGCAACCGGGCACTGGCATATGCCTTTCGAGTATAACAGTAACTCGTATTTGTTACGTGCAGACTTCCTGAAGCCTGAGATACCTTTGGTTGCAATGAGCTACAGCAGGTTTACCCCATATTGGCGCAGGAATTTTTCATTGATGCCTGAAATATATCGCAACACTTTGAGAGAATTCACAAGCCTTAGCACAATTTTTGATAATATTGATGCCGAGCTTGTTGCCATGGTAACTATATGCCATAACTTACAACATTTCTGTTATCATGGAAAGCTAAAATACCAGACTGCAATCACCATTGCTCGTCTTAAAGGAGAAAATTGGAAACATTTTGAGCTAGTTAAAGGACAGATCAATTTAACAGACCAAAATCAACATGACCACAATGGAACTATCTCAATAGAAGATCTAAATAGGGAGGTGTCGAGCGCCTTAAAACGCACGTGGAGACCCGTTGAGCATGCAATGTCGAAGGCATCTTATCGGGCATCTCATCTTGACGACGACATTTTAAAAGTAAATGAATCAAGTAACCCATGCGCCCTTGGGGTTTAGGGGGTGCTTTCAAAATATTGATATTGAAAGAACTTGTATACTTACAATTCAATGAATCTATCAATTTAAGTCAATATAATGATGCTCTCAAACATAAATAATGATATTTCAGATTGATCCCAATGAATATATGAATAATTTATATGTTTGGTGTTCTCCAAACGGGGAGTGCTCTCTTTTGAAAACCTAGGCTAAGGCTAAGGAACATTTCCTACCCTAAATAACACCGTTGTGATCAATGCAAGTAGAAGTGCAAAATAAATATTATTTACATTTAAAGGCGCTGTTTTATCTGCCTTTGGTGCAATGGCAAACTAAATGTATTTGTAATTTCGTCAATGAAACACCCAATATTACAAAAAATCATCTCTAATTTTTTTCTCATATATCAGTTCTGTGCATATTACGTGTTTCATAGTACATGTTAGGGTAAAAGGAAATGTTAAACATTTATTTTTTGCCTTGGCCTTATGCAAGCTTGAGAAAATATTGTAGTGTTCCATAAGTCAAACATTTGTTTTTGTATTAGCCTTAGACTATACAAAATAGGCAGTTTTCAATATGTCAAACATTTTGATAATAAAATACAAAGTGTTCCATTTGTCAAACATTCTGTTTTTTGCCCTGGTCTTATAAATACCAAACAAAGTTGACAATAAATTATATAGTTCTCCATATGTCAAACATAATGTTTTTGTCTTAGCCTTATGAAACTCAGGATGAAATAGTCCTCAATTTGTTCAACATTTCTTGCCTTAGCCTTATGAAATTGTCATCCATGTTTTAAACTTGTCACTTTAAGACGTCACAAGATGTTCCTGAAAAATAGAGGTAAAGCTAATTGTCATATTCCACAGAAACATTTGTTGGGGATAAAACGAAATTATATAATTATTTGTCCCTCCTATGTTTAATGGTCAAAGTCAATATTTAAAAGTACACATAAAAATATCTAAAAAATATTTACAAGTTTATATTTACAACGACTGCAACATTGCTACTCACCTGGCTTAAAAAACTTGTAAAACTTATTGTAATAGTTGTATGTGGATTTTTTAAAGCAATGAGCTGCATCAGAGTCACATTTGCAGACTTTAAAGTCACATGTACCTTCTTTTCCACCTAGAAATACATGCACAGTATAAACTCTGAGTTTAATTATACCATCGAACGAAGTTCAGAGGGATATAGGGAACACCTCCGTTTTTGTTCATATTTTTGGTATGTGAATACTATAAGCATGGCACACTATCTAATGACACTTTTGGTAGAAGGCGGCAAATTATATAGGACATAAATAAAGCTAGAATATTAAAAACGCACATGGCAGCCATCTTGAAAAATGTCGGCCTTCATGAGCTATTTTACGATTTTTGCTGTAACTCGAAAAGTAGTGGATTGATTTTGTTCATATTTGGTATGTGAATACTATAAGCATGGCACACTGTCTAATGACACTTTCGGTATAAGGTGGCCATTTTTCAAAGTGGCTGCCATGTTTGCTTTATACTTTGTTTATTAAAATGCCAGTCATGGCGGTTCAATGGGATTTGATACCCTTTGGCGTTGCTGTTGTATAGTTACCAATTGAAAAACACATTTAAAATCGCATGCTTTTGTAAATTTTGGTACTTTATGTAGACATGTTCCTTCTTTGACAATTGAAACACGTGCATAGTATAAATCAATACTATTTTCACCTTTTACATTTACATTATGTACAGACAAATTTGGAGAACCTTTGCACACTTGGGGAGAATCTTTGGACCACAAATAAATGAGGCTAAAAAAGATGTCAGTTTAAGCATTAACACAACACGAAGAAACACTACTGTCATCTTTGTATCAGCGTACAACTTATAGCATTATATTATTTGAGTACATTTAAGAATTTCCTTTTGGTAGATATTTTAAGATTATATTGATCTTAGATGTTGATACATATAACCAATAACCATGGCCAAGCATTACATTTTTATTCTTGCCTTACACCCTTTTGTGTCCCATCACCTTTCAATAAAGAACTTCTTATTGAAGTTAACAAACTTACTACAAACTCCATTGCTAACACTGTAGTATATAAGACTGTAGCGACATCTTTGTGTTTTCCATGTTTCCCCATAGCATTCATCATGAGCCTTACAGCAAGCATCAACATCATCCACTGTCTTCCCATGACCTCCTATCCCACATCAGCACCCATAATTGTTGTAGTCAAAACAGTTGATACGTCCGGTTGTCTCACGAATGAATGTGCAGAATTGAGCGTAGTTTGCATCTGTTCTTTTGAGCATCAGTGTTGTCATGAGTATGAGTAGTGTTCCAACCTGAAGAACACCTGAATAATAAAGCAACGCCACAACCTGAAAATTTTATTTTAGGCATATACAGAGTGTCTTCTATGTTTTCAGCTTTTACTTACCTTTAAGGTCTTAGTTGAAAGATGCATCACCATTTCAAATTTCAGCTGCACTACTATCTAATATTTCCACATATGGTTCAGTAGCACATTATGTGCGTGCACGGTATCCTCTGATAATGCAAACAGTGTACAGAAAGTAAACGAATTTTAAAATTAATGAACCATAGATGCATAGGTACAAAGTATTACTCTACTAAACTTTGTACTTTAAAATATGAACTCAGAGTATACCCTGGATCATGCTACCTATATTTATATGAAAGTTGTTTTGCATTTTTTGCAATCATAATTATTCAGAAATTTGTCAATCAATGTTTAAATGTCAGTCAATCTAAAGTGGTACCGTATTTGCAGAGCATAAATATAAAGGATTTATGACGAGAGCATAAAAACATGGTGCACAGGTCATTCAGTATTCTTTGTGTAGTCTTAACTACCACTGGCATGTAGCGGCCCTGATATCGATAAATTCTACACGCAATATAACCCGATTTTAGATGCTTGGTTAAAACTTTACACGAAAAAGCCTCGATATCCGGGCATTTACTCTTACACTGAACTGAAAATAGCATCGTCTAAACGTGTATGTCTTGGCTTCCGGGTAAGTTTATCAACATTTATACTCAATTGAAAGAGCAGTCGTGCATATATCGTGTACCAGTTTGATTGTTTTATATGTGTGTGTATTTATAATATGATAGTCTAGTAATACCGTCTCGTTAGAACAAGTGCTAGATATCGAACTGATGACCTGAAATTAGATTATTGGACTGATCGCGCATCTGATATTAGATGATTAATTTGCATTGAATCTGATATTAACTTGCAACCCAATACTACAGTAAATACCATGATTTTACATTAGAATGATAACACGGCCTCATATTCTAATTCATTGTACGTCCATTGCAGGCCAAAAATGTTTCAATGGGGATATTGTAATGCACACGAGAATACATTCGATTCGTATATATTGACACCCCAGTTGTCCGAAACCCAGTTGTCCGAAACCCAATTCCCCGAAACCCAGTTGTCCGAAACCCATTACTCCGAAAAATAAAGTCATAATTTACCAGCGAAAGGGGGGGGGGCGTAGCTTACTTAAGCTTACGTCAGTTTCATGCCATGTATTTGGCCAAATTAATGGCATGGACGCATTCTGATATTCATAGATCTCTCTCTCACTTTGAATTGCATCCATTGCATGGCGTTACCAGAATGGCAAACGGGAGATTTATTATACATTGTGATTCTAAAAAAGGTTATTAAAACACAATATATATTACGGAACAGTTTATCTTATCTTCTTCAATCTCTTTTATATAGGCAAAATAAAATGAAACATTTTGAAACAGATAAAATAAGGTATAGAACTTTAAGAATAATTTAAAACAGTATACAAATTACGTTGTCAAAATATTTCGTCGCATTTAATTTCTTAGTCTCAGTCTCTTATCAAATCGTAAAAGAATAAAACATTCTAAACTTAATCACTTGGGATTTATGTTTCGGCATTCGTTTCAGGCATTTGTTTTTTATGTTCTTCTCCTGAAATGTATTTGTTTGACAATAATCAGAGAAAGTGCGTATACGTATAAATATGCCACGCAAACAAACGGGTGTGACTTCAATTTCTTGTCTGTCTGAGGACGTATTGGGAACGAGGTAGAATTAAAGAATTCTTATGAACAAATGTATTGGATAAGTTAATTTCTGATGGATCTGGATAAAATATATTTCAAAACTTTGTCAACACTAGATAACTTCATTTAGGCAGATATAGTATCTTGATATATTTGGCTATCATGCGTTTAAAATACGTTCCTAAAACTATGAAGACGTTGGGTGAGATATATTGCTATTGTACGTTCGAAAAGTATTTGGTTGTATTTTGTAGTTCTCAAGTTACCCATGAACTTTCGTGGGCTAATTAACGTCTTGACTCAGCATATTTAGCCTAATTTTGCAATGATGTCAACGTGATTCAAATGTTATGCTGTCGTGATTCGCAGAGGTTGCGACAAGATTCGTTTTAAGAAATTGTATTTTTTGATAAGATCCCCTAATTTTCGGAGAACTTGGTTTCAGACAACTGGGTTTCGGAGAATTGAGTTTCGGACAACTGGGTTTCGGACAACTGGATTGACCCCTATGAGGGTTGATCATACATCAATTGAACATGGAGATTTTCCTGTACACTTTTCCCAAACATTTGGAATAGACTAGATGCGAGTAGAAATTATCTTGATTTATCCTATGCCAAGTAGGGTTTTAGGGAGATAAGTTGGTAAGATATATCCCGTATCCTGATTTTGAGGTTTCCATATCAAGAACCTCCATATCTCCCGTCATATCTCCCGCTTCGGTGCATATCTTCCCGCTTCGGGTCGTATCTTCCCGCTTCCAAAAAAGTGGAAATGCAATAAAATGACTTTGCATATGAATGATTTGTTTATTTTTTACACCTTGTGCTACTGAAAACTCTACTTGGTATAGGATAAAGCAGTTATGTACGGTCGGTTTGGATATTGGGTTCATCCCTCGTGAGATATGCACATCTACTTTCTGTCCCTACGGTCCCTCATGTAGATATGCATATCTCCCTCTGGAAAAACCCCGCATCCAAAACCTCCCAGTACATAACCCGTTTTTATCCCATGGTTACAAGGATATAGATCGAATATCACGTGAAGATATAATTGATACGTGGATGAAGATATCATGTTTTAGCAAACAATTCCCAAATCATCGAATATCACTTTTGAAACCATCGAATATCACTTTTTGAAAGGTGATAT